TGGCTTAGATTTCTAAATAAACATTCACCTTGTCGCTAGATAGACCTACTCCTGAAAAACTCGTGTCTGCGCAAGGCTTTTTGTCCCTACGAGGCCACCGTCATTTACCCGACGGGAGGGGTGAGCGAGTGAGCCTTGCAATCTAGAATTTGACCACTGATGTCACTGTTTTCAATGGTTTTCAACCCATTTTACACAGTGGCCCTTTAATAACATGTCGGACAGGAAATCCAAAGTATGGGATCATTTTGAGAAGGTGAAGAACGAACCCAAGGTGATATGTAAACTCATCTTCATTGGTCGACTACAAAGATGACGTATCATCTGAAACATGGAAGTAGCTACATGCCCATTAGCCACTTAGCACAGTCATTACTGCTTTGCCGACAGCGTCATTAACAGGGGTGTAACGATACATCGATCCACATCGATTCATTGATTAACAATTGATTACATCGATGCAAAATGAAAACATTGATCCATATCGTCATCTTAAAGATACACATTTATTTTGAAATTCACATAGCATGTCTGTGTCACCATTTCTGGGCAAGCGCGCCTCCGCTCAAACAACAAACAGAGCTCAGAAATGAAATGGTCAAATCATATTCTAGTTGTTTTTGTGGGTTGATGTAAATGATTGTGTTAGATGGGCATATGATATGGTGTCATATCGATCGCAGGCTCCTGAATCGAATCGAATCAAAATCGTATTGTGACAGACTTTGTGATATCAGCAAACATCGTATCGTCATCCAAACAAATAGATATAATATCGTATCGTGATGAAGCTGGTGATTTACACCCCTAGTCATTAACAAACATTTTTTTCACAGATATAACCACACAGATTAAAATCTATCACATCTCCTCACATTCTCTCTGTTAACATCTTTTACGAGGAGCTCTCACCTTATTTGTCTCTATGATTGTTAGTGCTACATGTTTGTTGCCCTGCCTGGACTTAAAAGAAAGTGTTGAAGTTTAGGCGTCATTGAATCTCCAGATCAATACAGTCACCTCAGGTCAGATAACATGATGCATTTGAGCTCATGAATGAACAGAGATTCACAGATGGCGGAGGCACCCTAATGGCCATCGATTCGTTAACACACAAACTGCAATTTTAGATTCTTATAGTTATTATTTTGATGCCCTAAGAATAAAAACAGTGTTAATGGTGGAATTTCGCTTCATTAAATGAAAACAAATATTTATTATGACATGTACGTAGCCTTCGGTACAACGGAAATTGACATTAAATGACCAGAAACTGGTAGTATTTCTCTCACACAGTGACGGCTCCTGTTTCCCATCATGCCACTGCCTGCCAGTATTTGTGTGTTGTTCTACGATGTCATGACACTGCAGCAACATTATTACCAAGCTTTACGATGCGTCCCATCAGTGCTGATAATCTCATTAAGCTGAGTCAGGAGGAGATGTTTACTCTGAAAGTGGGGCAGTTTTTACCAGGCTGTTGTTTATATTATTTATAGGACACAGTTGTTGATGTTGCTGCAGCTTTTGTTACTGTTGATCTTATGTAATATCTCCACCTCTTTCTCTCCGTCTCACACATCTTTCATCCAGCTGACTTTGTGTCAGACGAGCAGGAGGTTCAGAAATCAACCTGCATGTGGTTCATACCTTTACTTCCTGAAAAGAGAAGGCTATAAATAATTTAAAGGTGCAGTCAGAAATATTTTACTAGCTCTGTGCACGAATA